GCTTCGAGCCCGGCGGCATGCACTGAGATCAGGACAAGTCCCCTTTCCCCGCGCCGCCCACCCAGTCTCCCTTCCAGACGCGGTCCTCCCGCAGACGCCGAGCGCACCTTAACGCTCTGATCGCTGGAGCAGGTCGCCATCCGCCGCCCGTGGAAGTCGAAGGAGACATCGTGGATGAGATCCTTATGGTCTGCCGCGATGCTGCGCGCTACAAACATGGCTCCCGCCGAACCCGCGCCTCCGAAAAGGGCAGTGGCGGCGGCGGCGGCACGGCCCGTAGCCTACCCGGGCCCCGCCGCCCGGGCGCGCACGGCGCGTCCTTCCCGCGCCGCCCCGCCCCGGCCCGGCCCGACACGCCCCGCCCCCGGCCCGGCCCGTCATGCCCCGCGAGGCCAGCGCATGCGCCTCCTGGGCGAGCCGGGGCGGCGGGCTTAGCAACGCTGCGCTGGAAGCCGCCAGCGAGAGAAGTAGGTGAAGTGCGGACGTTAAGAAAAATGAGAGTTAAAAATGCCACGCACAGTTCTCGGTCCTGAATCAATTCCGTCAACGTTTGCGGGTGTCTTCCCCCAGACACGTGGGAGGTGCGCAGCGAGTGGAGAAGTCACACCGGGGATTTGGTCAGGGCCGGAACTCTGCTGGGGCGACTGCGGGACGGGGTGCAGAGACACCTGAGGAGGTCACTCCAGGAGGCCGGGCTCCGTAGCCGGAAAGCGAAGGCGGGGGTCGGAGGGTGAAGTTGAGTGAGAAGATGAGGGGTTCTGGGGGCCGAAAAGAAGGCAAGGATCTGAAGTAATGGCCAAAATGTTTGAACATTTCACAGGTAGAACAGGTTTTGAAGTGCTAAAAATCAAGATGGGTTAAGGAAATAAGGCATTCGAAATTGGAGTGTTCTCCTGCAGAAACTTAACTCACCTTTGGAAGACTTACTAGCCTGGAGCCAGAGTCCTCAATGGAGAAATAACTGAAGTGAGCAAAAAACCCCTGGAGAGGGAAACCTGTGAATAAGAGTCCTTAGATCAAGGATTCCGTCAAAACCGGGGAGTGGAGGAACTTTCTCCAAAGAGGTTAACGATTTAGGGGGTTTTGTTTGTCAGGAAAAGGCATTCTAGAGGGCTTAGTAGTAAAGCTAGGCAGGATGGGAAACAGTGAAAATTGGGTCAGTGGAGTGAAAATACAGAAAAAAGTTAAAAACGAGGCTGCAGAAGGGGCTTGCATTTTGGATTATGGCCAGGAATTACAAGAATGTAAGGCATGATAAGATTAGCAGGCTAGAAAGTTTTAACAATAATTAGTTCCAACTGTCCCCTGTGGGATTGATTGTACAGAAACCTGCGAAGTGGGGGAGGAATGATCTGTCCTTTTTTAACTAAAAATAAGATTTTATGGCTACTTTAGGAGGTCGATCCCAAGTTCTGGAGTTGCAGATAAGACAACTGATAACAACTGTAACTTCTTTAAGGTCAGAGACTGATTTTCAAAGAAAGTACTCACTATAAAAGTCCAATCAGCTTCACCACTATACATTACATCCATGTAACAAACACTTGTACACCCTAAATCTATTGAAATTTTTTAAAAAGAAAATAAAAATCCAATCTATAGGAACACCAAAACTTTTTAAAAATATTTTTTCTTTTAGAATTATTTAATTTTATAAATACATGGTAAACAGATCAGTGGTTGCCAGAGATTATTAGTGGGGGTGGAATGTTAAATAGGTGAAACACGATGGATTTTTTTATTAATAGACTTAAGTTTTTAGAGCACTTTCGGGTTCACAGCAAAATTGAGCAGAAAATACAGAGTTCCCATATACACCCCCTACCTCCACACATGCACTGCCTTCTTCCACCATCAGCATCCCATTCCAGAGTGGTGCATTTGTTATGATCGATGAACCTACATTGATGTGTCATTATCACCCAAAGTTCAGAGTTTACATTTGTGTACACTCTTGATGTTATACATCCTATGGGTTTTGACAAATACATAATGACGTGTATCTGCCATTATGTTAATAGTAGCATACTGCCCATTTATTTAGTTTTGCTGTCCTAAAAATCCTCTGTGCTCCTGTTCATCCGTTTCTCTCCCCAATACCTGACAACCACTGATCTTCCACTGTCTCCACAGTTTTGCCTTTTCCAGAATGTCACATAGTTGAAATCATAGACTATGTAGCCTTTTCGAACTGGCTTCTGTGAAAAAAGTAATATGCATTTGCAGTTCCTCCGTGTCTTTTCATGGCTTGATAGCTCATTTCTTTTTAGTGCTGAATAATACTCCATTGTCAGGATGTAACAATGTTTATTCATTCACCTACTAGAGGATCATCTTGGTTGCTTCCAAGTTTTGGCAATTATGAATAACGCTGCTATAAACATCTATGTGCAGGTTTTTGTGTGGACAGAAGTTTTCAATTCCTGTGGGTAAATACCAAGGAGCATGATTGCCTGATGTATGGTAAGAGTATGTTTAGTTTTGTAAGAAACTGACAAACTGTCTCCCAAAGTGGTTGTATGTTTTGCATTGCCACTAGCAATGAATGAGAGTTCCTGTTGCTGCACATCCTGGACAGCATTTTGTGTTGTCTGTGTTCTGGATTTTGGCCATTTTAATAGGTGTGTGGTGTTCTTGTTATGGTTTTATAATAATTTACACTGCCCTGATAACATGATGTTGAGCATCTTTTCATATGATTATTTGCCATCTGTATATCTTCTTTGGTGAGGTGTGTGTTCAGATCTTTTGCCCATTTTTTACTTGGGTTGTTTTCTCGTTGAATTTTAAGAGTTCTTCATGTATTTTGCATAACAATTCTTTATCAGATATATTGCAATACATCAGATATATATTTTGTCAGATATATATATCAGATATATATTTTTCTCCCAGTCTGGCTTGTTTCCTCATCTTTATGTGTTTATGTGCTTTCTTTGTTGGTTTTTTTTTTTTTTTTTGAGACT